GGACTTGTGATTGAGGTCACTCGTTCAGTTCGCTACTCGTACTCGTGATTCAGTCTCACAAGGTTTTCTCCAAGATTCATCGGAAGGAAGGCAAAACATGAATGCTTCKAACGAATTTGTGTTCTGTTTTCGAAAATGAATAGTAGTAGAAACCTACCGTACTCGTACTTGGTGACGAAGCAAGGGTCCCCTGCGCTGCCTGCGAATCGCTGCGGCACGTTCCAAGCGTGCGATTAGGTACGTACTCGCAATCTACGATTACGAGTACGAGTATGTACCCTACCGTACATACCGGTACTCCTACTTGTATCGGAATTCTAATTTTATTTACCGTTCCAACGATACGCACTGCAAGGTACGAGTCGGGTACTTCTACTAGAGCAGAAACCGAATCGAGTATTCCTCGGTTGTCGGTTGCCATTCCAATCCAACACTCCTTGCGATACGAGTACGTACGGTACCGTTCGCATCGATTGGGGCCGGATCCGATTTTGCACGCCGCACGGCATTCCGGCACGAGGGACGCAGAGACACAGGGATGGACGCCCTCAAGAGATTCCTGGAATTCAGCGGGCTGTCGCGCCGCTCCCCTCCGGCCGCAAGGCGGGAACCGGGGGGAGAGCCCGAACGAAAGCGTCGCAGGCCGGGGTCGATCGAAACGGAGTCCTCCGATGCCGGTGCGGCCGTGGTTGCGGCCCGGTCCGCGCACGCGGCAGCTCCCGAATCCGTGCCCGTGTTCGTGTCCGTGTCCGTTCCACCCATCGAGGAGACGCCGGTCGCCGCAAGAGATCGAACCGCGCCGGAGACGGTGCCCCCGGATCCAGCCTCTGCCCGTGATCCAACCGGCGCCGGTCCGGCCTCTTCCCGGGGGGGATGTCCCTCCCCGTGCCCGCAGTGGCTCCTCTCGCCCCCGAGCGAGGGCGGGGGCTGYCTGGGCCGGGTCTTTCGGTTCCTGGACCCCGGCCTCGACTTTCCCTCGTCCCGCCTGGTGCACCCCGTGTGGAACGAATGGGTCGAGTGCCTTCTCGCCCTGTCCAGCGAGGAAACCAACATCTGGATGTCCCGCCTCGAGGTCCGCGACGGAACGGGCACGGGAACGGGCAACGGCGGGGACGCTTCCGGGGAGTACCGAAACCGCCTCGAGAAAGACCTTGCCATGGTGCGGGAAACCACGGAGGAAGAACGGGAACGGTACATCCGAGAAACCAGGGAGGACTGGGCCATCCGGGGTGGTGGCAGCAGCAGCAACAACAACAACAACAACGGCATTCTCGGTGGCAACCAACAGCAGCAACAACAACAACAACAACGGCATTCTCGGTGGCAACCAACAGCAGCAACAACAACAACAACAACACCCGATTCAGGAAGACATGTTCGAGATCAAGCCGCACCACCTGTGGCGCCGGACCGACGTGGAACCCGGTCGGCAGGGCCGGTATTCCATGAACGACTGGTCGCACCGGCCCCACATCGTCTCGGCGAGGATCGTCCTCAACGTCCGCAACGCCTACCGGTTGCTCGCCTTTCGGTACGGGATCCGGAGCGAGATGTTCCAGTTCGGCGGCCGCTGGTACTACTTTTGCATAGGCGCCGGGACCTTTGGCGCCGGGACGGGGAACACCGTCTTTGGCATCGAGCTGCTGGAATGCCAGGAGGGCCAGCAGAACAACGCGGCCGTGGGGCCCCAGCAGCGGAGGGACCCCGGGGGCTTCTCCACGACCCGAGTCGGCTTTCCCGCGCTGATCCGCTACCGGACGACCTTCCGGGCCGCCTCGGGGGCCTACCGGCCGCTGGAGCTGGCGGCGGCCGTCCCGGAGGGCTTTCCCTGCTGGCCGAGCGGGACCAACGGGAACGCACGAATGTCCTACGAATACATCCCGCTGGCGAGCGCGGGGCTAGCCCTCGGGCCGCCCCCGTCGTGCCCGCACCTGCGGATCGCGGTCGAGATGGAGCACATGGGCTTTGGCTACTGCCAGTAGCGGGAGGTAMAGGGGCAGCCAGGGGAATGGATCGCATCGGATCGATTCGGTTGCATCGTAGGAATTTCGTACGTTGCCAATGAAATTCGGGATTGTTTCGATGGTGCAATAGGATCCAACTCTGAAACAATAAGAGATGCTTTCGAGGAGAACTAGGGATCGTTACTCTCGTGGACGACTATCGTGTCGAAAAAAAGTAGGTGGTTGGTTCCACATGTACATTGGACTGGTATTTATGAATCTATACAGTATTGGCTACTTGTACATTGGCAAAAACCACTCTGCTGATAGTCTTGCGGTACCATTTCTTGGACAATGGTTGTCGGCGACGTGAAAACGAAGGCAAGGGGGAAAGAAGGAAGGCCCCATCTCGTTGCTTTTTCAACAAAAGGGATCATATTTAGAACAGAAAGAATACAGTACTTGAAAAGCATCCAATCTAGCATCGACGCTTTCCTTCTATTGATTGCATGGTCTTTGAATTGATCTCGGGAATGATGCATCAAGATACTATCGAATTCCTATTTGAATTGCGATTACTGTATTTATTCTGCTGTACACTAGCTGCTGTTGCCTTGTTGCCTCAGAGATCCGCCTTGGCATCGTCTCCCTCGTCGCCAAACAAGGCCCGATCGAGAAAATCCGCAAGGTCCCTGGTTTCTTGCTCACAGCTCTGGTGCCCCATGGGGTACTGGGTGGAGGTAATCTTGCTCCAATCGAGACCGAAATCGTTCGATAGTTTCTCGATGCCGAATTGCTGCTGCTCGAAGAGCACCTTGTCGTCGTAGGTGCCGTGCCCCCAGAACAGCGGAATTTCCTTTCGGGCGTCCTTCTTGCCGTCCTCCGTGAGTTCCGCAACCTCTTTCGGAAGGGTCAGCCACGCGGACAATCCGACACACCCGGCGAATGSCTTGGGGGCGTCTCCACCCAGGTTCTGGTGATAGCAGGACAGGAGCGCTACAGCGCCACCCTGGGAAAATCCTCCCACCACGATCTTGCTGGGTGGGATCCCGTCCTCGGTCTGGAGCCGATCCACCTCCGCTTTGATCTGCTCGACGCCCTTCATCAATCCAGCGGGATCGTCCTTGCTGCCGACACCGATCGGCCAGTCGAACAGATCGAACCACCCGGGCATTTTCATCCCGCCGTTGATCGTGAGSGGGATGGTYGGTGCCGCCGGAAACACGTACTTGACGTCCCCGGCGTTCAGGCGGGGCTTCAGTCGCGGGAGTTGGTGCTCGAGGCTCGACCATCCCGCGGGGGAATCACCGAGCCCGTGCATGAAAATCAGGGCGCCGCGGTAGGTAGAGGAAGCGGCATTTGCAGCGGCTGCCGATGTGCCCTTGGAAACAGGTGACATGGCCGAAACGAAGGAAAGCTTGCTRGTGGTGTTGAAAGTTATGAGAATGCTGCAGAGTATTGCCAAAGCGAAAAATGGGAACGGCGMAGATCTTTGGCSCATTGGATGGATTCGTTGGAGGGATCTGTTGAATCGACTTGGAATTGCGCAGTCTACAAGCCAGAAACCAAGAGCACGTCGGGCCTGGATTGTTGTATAGCAAGCTTTAGTTAACRACAATGAACCTTTCGAAACTTTAGTTCGAACGACAGTCGTACCAGGTCGTAACCAATCGATGTGTTTTCAARTCACCAAACCAGCTCTCAATTCTCATATCGCACAAACAACAAAGATTGAACACAAAGCAAGGCACGTGAGGATAAATTTACAAGCAGAGCTTGATTGGTCTGCTTCGGTGGCAGTGGAAGTCGAAGGTATCATATCTAACAAAATATCAACTAAAAATACAACCCTGTAGGACACAGTACATATTCTATGTAGATGAGACAGTGTGCACCAAGTGTGCGCAGAGTGCAAGAGTATCAGCGTGATTGATGAGACGTACTCACACGATCACGCTGAAGGCAAATTCTATGAAAAAAAAGAATTCGTGAGAGTAATTCTTAACAATCACGATAACAACAACACGGATGACGCTTCTCCTCCTGTCAGCTACTACTAAGATGGTCCTCTAATTGAGGATAGCAACACACTACAGTTTACACTATATTTTTATGCTTTTTTTCGATATAAGGGGGGGGGGGGCAAGTAGTAAGGAAAGAAGACACGCAACAAAGAACAAAGCGTCGACGTCGACGATTATCAACAAGAAAAAGAAGAATCGTCGGCAATTAAGAAGCAGCAGCACCAACAGTTGGTCCTCGAAGCAATGCATGGCCTCCATTAGCTTCATGGGGACGCATAGCTTTAAGAATATAGGAGACCCTCTTGGTTGGACCACCATATACTGCATAGATTCTTCTAACAGCAACTTCAGAAGAACAACCAGCACTGATGAGTCGCTCCATACACTTCCAGAACTTCAGCCTCCTGCAATAGTACTTGCTCTTTACACAACCTCGCTCAGCAGCAGTGAACTCCTTGGCAGGCTTATTGAGACCAACACCAACTTCCCATTCATTCCAGAGGACATACAGGTCGTGAGGACACTTCGTCAGCTCGGCGTTTCCACCACTAGTAGCTTCCGACGCGCCACTGTTCAACGCATAAAGAGGCCTCCTTCTTGTTACGACTGGTGCCATTGCAGCTCTTTGGGACAACTCGATGGCTTTATTAAGCTTTCGGTTGAACTTGGCTTCAGCTGCAATCTGCCTATTTTTAATATCATTCACTTGATTAGCTGTGGCAAACAGCTTGGAAAACATTGCATGATTCCACTGCAACTGAGTCTGTCAAATCCCAACAGCGGTCCCTCCAGCAGCTCCACCGGCGCCTCCTCCTCCACCACCAGGACCACGATCAAGCATATTATCTGGATCAGCAAGCTCATCAAAGTGAACTTGCCCACTGATCTCATTAGCAATCAGCTCAACTTTCTTGATAGGATTCACATCACGATCCAACCTGTCAGCAACAGGCAGACTGTAATTGAGTTGAATCCAAGAACCGACAACATCCTGCTTCACGTCCTCAGGAATCAAGCCGGATGCTTGCATTGCCGGATCACAGCAAGTCCAAAGCAAGGCCTTTCCTAGAATTGCTGCAACTTGGTTACCAAACACATTGGCAATATTAGGAGCAACTGAAGAAGCAAGCCACTCGTCAGTGATTCCAGTCATTTCAGGCTTGTACAGACAGATTCCTCCAAAGCAAAGCTTGCTTGCAATGTCGATATCAGGCCAGGCGAGCTGTGTGTCAGTGTATCTATCTTGCTGGCGTCTAGACTTCCATCGAGCTCTATAATCAACATTATCCCTGCTTCCTCCAGACAGTCTTGCAAAAGTTGTCGCAAACTTCCTAAAGGAATGAGTGCCCAGCTTCCCATCCAAATCTGGTCTTTCACGAACAAAGGCTTCATTATCAAACACATAACGCTTGATGAATTGAGCATAAGCATTCTTTCCTTTGTTAATCTCTTTCTCAATGTCCCTTGTGTGAGATCTCCTGTCTGTTACTGCTTCAGTGAACAGCCATTGGCCTGCTGCTCCATCGCCGTCTTTGCACCACTTTTCAAGGAATAAAGCAACCCCAAGCACCACGCAGGTCCTATGATGAATCCCATATCATTGCAATATATGATAATATACATCACAAATATAAATATAAGGAATCCCGTGGCATTGCAATATATATAGTCCTTGGAGGCGCACACAGTATTAAGTAGTATGAACTTGCTCCTAACGTTGAGCTTTTCCAAGCTTCACGCAATAGCTCGTGTTAATTTTAGGAAGCAAATAACAGGCTAGAAATCACTTTTTCTAGCAAATGCAGCAAAGCA